GCTGACAGAAACGCTGGACTGTGCCTGCGGTTGGCTGGAGGATCCTTTGGTCTCGCTCGAATCAATCCTGTTCATCCTTGGCCCCGCGCCGCGGAATGTTGTTTCCTCCCTGTCTACTCGCAGCCAGCTAATGTTGCTTTTACTAGAATCTCTACTCCCTGGCCGCACAGATATTGACATACTCTCAAGCTCAGGATAAGGATTGTCCTTCTTCAGGAGGGCATAACCAAAACTCCAGAGCTTATTGGAAAGCCTCCATAGGAAACCGAGCCTAGGACAACCATGTAAAATGTGCAACCAGGCCCACGAGCTAGGTTCTCGTGATCGCCACCCCCTCGCGAGATTGCAACGCTACTATCACATTCTGATGAGGCCTTGGACACAAGAAGCACGAGTCGGACCAATCAAACACCACGCGTGAATTTAGACAGACGCAGGTACGGTTCTGCGATACAGATCCCAGCGACGACCCACGGCACAGTAGATCAAGGAGGTTCTATTTATGGCCCGGAGAAGAAATGAAGGATTTGCAAAGGTCCAGACACGATCCACAAGCCCAAACTTGACGGCCGTCAGTGTCCGATGGAAAAGGACTTTGTTGCGTAGAAGGTACGGTCGAGGTACGGTCCAGGCAGGTGAGGTATTTGGAATATCACGCAGACTTTGGCGTCAGAATGGTAGGCTAAAAACCTGATCCGCGGTTATGTTTTCCTGGTTGCTGTCACAAGAGAGTAAGTTCTCCTGTCAAGTGACAAGCTGCTCCTTGTCTATCTGGTCTGTAGAACGTTCTAGAAGCTATGTCTTCTGTCCTGCACCTTCCCCTGATGATTATACTCTTTTGAGCGTGACCTCTCCATCTGCGCAGACCACATGGGCTTACGTAAATGTCTCCAGTTTTTGCACTAAAGCCGAGAGACCGATTGGCTCCCGGACATCAAGGCCGGCCCACAGAGTTTATTCCAAGCACCCAGCGCATCTTGACCATGATTCTGGCGATAGGGAATTTCCCAACACAGCTGTAGTCTTCAAAACCCCTATATTTTAACAGGTCAAGATTGTGATTAGGGTGGCCCATTTTCTTCTAGACTGTAAACTTGTAGATAAGCTTTCGATTAAATTCAAGCTTAATTCGCAATCACTCATGACAACCGTATTCTCTCACCGACCGAGCGTTCCCACGGTTCATCGAAACTCATTTGTCGCGACAATATGGGTCGGCCCTTGATCGACGCTCCCGCCCAATTTTCCACGGTCTTTCTCAAATTACCTTTTCATGCCTTGAACGGAAAGGTCTTGCCATTATTATGCTGATTGGAAACAATCTGCTTCCCAGGAGAATTGGAAATAATTCTTATCCCTCGGCCGTCTTACAAGAGACCACTCTGCTTCCAGCCCACCCTTCCAACCAGGTTTAGTCCTCGAGCAAACTATAGTCTAGACGGTTTCAGAGCTTCCTTAGAACTACTCCAAATATCGTGCTACGACGTCATTGCGATGAAATTCGTGTGTCGGTTCTGTGAGGATTTCTATACGTAGCATAGCATCTCGCGAACCGTATGAGAATACATTGTCGTAGCTCCAAGGAAGAATGAATGTTCAAATCGTTCAAAAAGATTGATGACCTATGAATCAACTCTATCGTAGAGCCGATTTCTTTCCTTACAGGACACCATCCACCACTTTTCTTTGACAATAAAGGGTTTTCAATTCTTCCTTCATATTTGGAAAAATTCATCATGGCAAGTTCTGATCTATCCTCGTTCGAAATCCTCCCTGCTCTATTCCTCCACACAGTACTGTTTTAAGCAGTATGCCTCGGCGTCATTTCCAGTCCCGTCGTCTTGTCCCATTGAAATGCCAGATTATCCAGATGTAACAAAATGTATCAGAATCAAGATGAATAGTACAGATCCAAATGTGGCCTGGCCAACAGCTCCGTAGTACATGACGATATAGTATGGAAACGAACCATCTCTGCCAAAAAACTCAAATGAGGATTGAAAACCGTGAATGCGGCCGGCAGCATAACCTCCTAAGGAGATAACAGGTAAGCTCAGGAGGAATGTCATGCAGCCATAGTAGATTCGAACCATGCAATCCTCTCGCAGCCATCTTGGGTGGACCAAAAGAAGTATACCGAAAATGAAAAGCACTGCTGAGACGAGGGCCGTGATAACCATGCTAACGAGAATGTTGCTCATGAGCTTCTGGAATGTGATGTCCTGCATAAAATCGTTGGCGTTGACGAGGTCAGATTTTGCGCGGTTTTGCAGGACGTCCGCGAGGTGTGCAGAAGCTGAGCTGAGAGTGGCAAGTCCCAGCCAGTTGATTGTAAGAAAAGAGACAACCAGTCGCATCCGGATCACGCCTTGAGTGAAAAAAGAAGGCATTGTTCACAGAAACGGTATTTCCCGATTTCAAAAAGGTGAGCTGGGTCTTGTTCAGACGAGTTCTTGTATAATGAGAGAGTGGAAGCAGAAAATGAAGTGGTCAATAGCTCCGGACACAGTCTATTTATACTTTCCAGTATGTGCAGTGTGCTCTGTGTACACAAAGCTTGCCTGTTCAATGAAAGACATAGCCGATCCTGAGCTGCGCCAAACGCCCTTTGCATTGCCCGCTGCCTAGGTGACAATCTGCATAGGTTCCTCCGCGATATACGTTCTTCGACTTCGATTCCTACCCCTTCTTGGCCGGCGGCTTTGCAGAAAGTTTTCGATCTCCAGAGTAAAAGGTAGCTCCCAGGATCACCCGTGCCTTCTGTCAGGGATATACATGAAGCATACAGGTACAATGGAGATATGATCTGCATGACCCACTTGGTGCATCTGGATTTCCCTGAACGCGAAGAAGCTACCTTTCTTTTGCTTCCTCGCGCTACGTCTTGTATTGAGAGTCGACTATAGCTTTCTCTAATATTGACTACTCTTCTGAAGATGCTGTCCTTATCTACGGATATGTAGGACCCTCACAATGGCTCCGGGAACACATCGGCTCAATCTGGGAGCTGTGGAGCTCCTGGGAGCTTACTTTAGGGCCCTAGAGCCACTATACTGCCTTCCGAGGTCGCGGAAGCTCGCACAAAACACCTTCACCAACCCTGCTCACAAACTTGCGTCATTGGACCACCCCAGAAGGCCAAATGATCGCCCCAGGAGCCACACCTACGCCTCCAGGAATCAACAAGTTGTCAATAGTAACGTGTCTTTGATTCCTCGAGGTGACGCTATTAGACCCCAGAAGCTATGTCGGGTTTCCTGGGGACTACGTGGCTTCTAGAAGCAGATTCTTGGCTCCCAGAAACGTTTCAGGGGTCCCTGGGAGTAAGACAACTCCCAGGGTCAAGGAATGCGTTCCTAGCACCGATGGAGCCGTCAACACGAGCGTGTCCGATTCTTGATAGTGATGATAAAGATATGCATGTTCGTCTCTGGATACCGCTATGGGTATCTATTTGCTGTTTATACGGACAGAGCCAGAAAATGCGCATACTGTAAAGAAGGAAAAGCTCACTTTTCCTAGACTTCAGCTATGGAAATTATCAAGCGCAAGCAAATTGATATCGGACCCGTTACGCCTAGTATATTTGGCTTCCCCCTTATTTCTGGAGGTAGGAATAAGACGGCCTCTGTCTGGACACCAATTGGAGCAAATGCGGACCCAGAGACAAAACTCCCTGCTGGTCCTATTCATGGCTGACGACCGTGAACATCAACGCACACAATACTGACACGGTCTCTTTTTGATTTGGAAGAAAATGTTCTCCTGCTAATTAATATCAATAGGATAGTAAATTATTACAGCATTTGTGGCCCTAAGTTTGAACACGTCGGGTGCCGCAAAAAAAGGCCATGGAAGATCTCGTAAGTGGCGCAAGAGTTTATGTACTCAATTCAGTCCTCAAGTTCTCTGTCTATGCACTAAAGGGTAGACTGGTTGCTTTCAACGCTACATTTTTCATCTCTTACCCTGGGAGGAACCAAACGGGTTAGTCAAGTTGCAAATTCAGGATATGATCACCTGCCCAGCAATAGATGCGGCCCTGGTTTTGATGCGCATTAGATTGAACTTGAAAGTTTTCTTTGCTCCGCATCTTGGAAAACCTCACACATCCTAGGTGACGTCAACCGAGTACACAAATGTTGGCAAAAACGAATGCATGGCTTTCAACAGGCCTCAGTTAGGATAGGCACCGGTATCCCTCCTTTTCTGCTCCCTCACAGATTTTATTAATGACCAGAAAGGCCTAGAGGACTATAACTACCTCGACTCCCTTCGTCTTTGCTTTCCACGATAGTTGTCTAGCCACCCAATAGCCGATCAGTCCTTACGTTCGGAGTGACCTGATATTTTCCTATTTTCTTTCTCTTCATCCAAGTCCACTTTGATAAATATCTGCGAACGTTCCATTGATCCTTGACCAAGTCCGTCTGAGGTCTCCCTTACGTTCTCTCGAGCTTGACCTCTCCACGCCCAATTGCCTCATTGAAAATGAAAACCAGCCGTAGCTATTCAGACACTGGCACCGAGTTCGACCGTCTGAAAATCATCAGGGAGGTTGCTCTCAATGCAGAATTGGTGGCATTTGTTGAAAAAGCTCATTCGTCGCTTCAGTCACGAGGACGTTTCAAGAAACGGGA